GTGACCTGAGTTTGATTTCCCAAACCTACAGTGGAAGGAGAGAACTGACTGCTGGAATTTGTCCTTGGAAATCAACATGTGTGTCCATACAACACAACAATGTATACGAAAAATTTAAACAAACAGAAAAACATAGTCTGCTACTCATCATCACAAAGATATAGATTATCCTTAAGCAAAGTTATAATACACACTATTTGTTGCCTGAAACTGGACAAGGTAATAGTATACAGAAAAAAAATAAGTGAACAAAGACAAAACAGGATAATTGTGTAAAAGAAAAGTACGGGAGCATTCATAACCTTACTAGATATTAACACATGCTCTAGAGCTTCAAAAACCAACTGTGATATTTGTGAATGGATGGAAGGTCATAAAAACTTCAAATAGACCAAAGTACATATTTTTGAATTTGCTAAATAAAGCTTCCCAAATCAATAGAAGTAGACATGAACTTTCTGATTAATAACATCTGAAAAGCTGAGTAGTCATTTGGAAAAAGATTAAGTTGAATTCATACCTCACAGCACACATCAGCACAAAACCCAAATAGATCAATGATTGAAGTTTAAAGAAAAACATTTAATTACTGTATTGGATGATTTTATGTGTCAGCTTGACACAAGATAGAGTGATCAGAGAGGAAGGAGCTGAGGAAATGCTTTCATGTGATCCAACTGTAAGGCATTTTCTCAACTACTGATTTATGTAGGAGAGCCCAAGCCATAGTGAGTGGTTCTATCTCTGAGCTGCTGGTCCTGGGTTCTGTAAGAAAGCAGGCTGAGAAAGACAGGAGAAGCAAGTCAATAAGCAGCATCCCTCCATGGTCTCGACATCAGTTCCTGTCTCCAGGATCCTGCCCTGTTTGAGTTCCTGTCCTGACTTCCTTCAGTGGTGAATGGCAATGCTGAAGTGTATGCCTAATAAACCCTTCCCTCCCCAACTTGCCTTTTGGTCATAGTGTTTTGTAACAGCAATAGGAACCCTGACCAGAAGTCTGAGGCAAAGAAAGTGATTTCAACTCTTATACACAACCCAAATGCTTAGGCCAGTAAAATGGCTCTATGTATTAAAGTGATTGTCTTTTGAAGGGAGGTCACTTGTTGGTTCCTGACTGCCTGGCTAGCTGAGACCTGAAATAATCACACAGAAACAGTATTAATTAAATCACTGCTTGGCCCATTAGCTCTAGCTTCTTATTGGCTGTAGGGATAAGCCCAGCCCATTAGGGGGTGTGTTTGCCTCGGGCTAATGTTTACTTATAAATCTAGCGAGCATGAGCCCGCCGCTCTCTCTGCTTCCCTGTTCTCCACAGGAACTGGTGGTTCTGTAAGTCTATTTCCCCATTAAAGCTGTATATATTGTTACAATCTGTCTGAATTCATTTACGCCATTACACTTGGCACCCAAAGTGGGGTTTTGTGGATACCCACCCTGGTGACTGCTGGGAGCCAGCGGCCCCCACCCCATCCGGAGGCCTCTCCCCCTTGCCAGATGGGATGATTGATATTTGTGATTTACTGTTTTTAAAAAATTGTATTGGTGCTGTTTCTTGTATATTGATATATTAAATATTGAATGTGAGCATTCCTACCTCTATTTTTGTACAAGAGTATGCTTATAACTTTGTATATATTGTATTGATAAATCTACCATATCACAATGTACATTTCTACCTCTGATACTATTTATATAATGACATTGTTTACAGTTAAAGATCATTGTCTTCATATATTGCACAGTTGTTTATTCTCTTAGTCTTCAAGTTAGATAGGTATTGAGAATTATATGTTTGTCATATTTATTTTTAGGTTATCAGGTCTTTTAGATACATAGAGATTATATTTAGTATAGATAGTATAATCTTCAGCCTCTTCGAAGAGCTGTAGAAAATGGCCTTTAATCTAACCTAGAATTCTGTGCCAACGAGACACAATTACTCCTGGCAACACCACTCTACTCCCGAGAGAACGTTGAGCACCAAGGACACTCCACTGGGAGTTTGTCTTCTTGGCAAAACTGGCCTTTGGGTTAAGAAAAGCCCATACCTCAACTACTGACAAAGATATGAAACAGGATCGTCTTATCTTGCCAAGACAGGGTAAGATAATTCTAAAAAAGTTCCTTGCCTTCAGTTATGTTAGGCCTTAGCCAAAGTTGGTTGACTCAACATTACAAATGAGACTTTGGGTGATTGCCCAGGTAGTCAGTTGTCTCTGTCATTTGCTGCACATTTTGGATATCTCTCTTTTGTTAAGTAATATTTATTCCCTTCTCAGATCTTTGACGGAGTTGAAGATTATATAATTGTAGTTACTCTCTACATTATTTAGACTCCTTGAGATAGAATGTTTAGTAAAACTTTTGTTCTCAATATTGTTTATTATATTTATTATTTGTTATTATTGTATATAGTTGTATTTGGTTTGGTTCTCTCTTATTTAGACAAAAGGGGGAGATGTAGGGATAAGCCCAGCCCATGAGGGGGCGTGTTCGCCTCGGGCTAATGTTTACTTATAAATCTCGCGAGTGTGAGCCCGCTGCTCTCTCTGCTTCCCTGTTCTCTGTGGGAACTGGTGGTTCTGTAAGTCTATTTCCCCATTAAAGCTGTATATATTATTACAATCTGTCTGAATTCATTTACGCCGTTACAATTGGCTAACTCTTACATATTAATTTAATTCATTTTCTATTAATCTGCATATTGCCGTATGGCTATGGCTTACTGGCTAAAGTTTCCAGTGTCTATCTAAGGTGGCTCCATGGCTTCTCTCTGACTCTGCCCTTCTTTCTCCCAGCATACAGCCTAGCTTTCACTGCCTAGTTATGTTCTTCCTTGCCATAGGCTCAAAGCAGTTCTTTATTCATTAACTAACAAAAGCAACACGTAGACAGAAGGACCTCTCACACCATTTCCCCTTTTCTGTTTAAACAAAAAAATCTGATGACCCGAGTTTGATCTCCAGAATATGCATGGTGGAAAGAGAGAGCTAACTCTCACTGCTGGTCCTCCACACCCTCACTGTAGTTTTTTTTTTTCTCTCTCTCTTATACACGTGCACCCACACAGGCACACATACACTAAATAAAACATAAAATCCAGAGACTATCTTTAAAATAATTGATTACTTTAATTACACAAAAATAAGAGTTTCTCATGAGACACACAATTTAAGCAAAATTAACAGATAGAAGAAAAATGAATGAAAATGTTTTAATTAATGCCAATGGCATATGACTAGCATTTGTGATTTTATTTATTTATGTATTTATTGATTTCTTCACTTTCTCATTTATTTGTTTTTCCGTTTTGGGGATCAAGCCCAGAAGTTCACATATGTTATTCAGGCACTCTATAACTGGGCCACACATTCCTTAACTTAAAAAAAAATTACCAAATGTTCCTAGAAGTGGAAGAGAAAAGATAAGAAAGTGAAGACATTTTAAAAAGCAAATTGTTCATACCTTAAAAGGAATTGATATGCTCTTTAAACATTATAATGAGAATTCATTGAAGTTTAGGGTTATGCTGAGATTTCTTTTCTTGGCACCTTCCAGTTTGAACACCACAGAGTTTTGTCTAGACTGTGGAAAAACTGCTGTCCTCTCCCCCATTGCTCTGAAGACTGCATTATTTGATGCACCTCCAGAATGAAGCACTATAAACTGGGGGACATAAATAGCAATTCATATTCTCATAACATCAGAGGTAGAAGTCTGAGCTCAATGTGTTTACGGGACTTGTGAGGTGACTTCCCAGGGCTTCCAGGTGTCCATATCCTCTTCCCCATATCTTGAAATTCTCAATGTATTATCCATGCTCCCCTATGGGTCTGGGTCCGAACTGTCCTCAATAACCTTGCTTGAATTTAACGACCTCTTCCAATCTCTTTCAGACCAACTCCATCGCCACATTTCTGGAATTATTCAAATTTTGGGTGACAATTCAGACAACAACAGCTCGTATGAAAGGAAACTTAGAAGTGATGAGCCAATTAACACGGCATTACTTTTGATCAGCAAACCCACTTTCTGGAGATTTGTTAGAGAGACAGACCTACAGTCACGTGAAATGACATGTACGGCGATATTTAATTTAGCCCCGTTGAGGCAGAAAGAAGGATTTCAGGGAAGAGTACGTGGTGATTTGTCTCCACAAGCCAAAACGCCCCTGTGTGAAGAGAGGAGGAAGCTCTGTAGGCACCGCTGATGGAGATCTGCGGACTAGGAGGTAAGAAAGGCAAGGAGTGAACAGCATAATAATAGCCCGTGGTCTACATAGGAGGAACGCATGGGATTTGTAGAGACTCTGAATGTAAACCAACTGCAGGAAAGGAGACGGCTCGAATTGATTGTTGATAGGGATATGTGACAGAGAACGGAGCAGGCAGGGTTAGAAATGGAGCTTTCTGTATGTTCTTGGCTGTATGGTTCTCATTTCTAAGTTATGGATGTTCAAGACAATTGAAAAGTATACATGTGTCATATATGGATAAAGGTTATCTAAGGATAAAGATAGCAGTTTTTGTTTGTAAATCAGGGGAATTCAAAAGAATCAAGAGAATATGTCTTTTTAAAGTGTAAAGTGTAGCTCACATGGCTTCTAAGCTCAGCTATGGCATCTCTAACATAAAATGAGACTAATTCTAATCTTTCTGCTTCTGAGAATGGCTAGTCTCAGCTTCTCCAAGTTTCACCAAGCGTTTCCAAATCGCTCTTTTTGGAAGGAAAGAGAACCACAACCATTTCCTCGCTGTTTTCTTTTTCTTTGCAGAGAGGTGATGCGTTTAAAGTCCAGTTGGATTTCATGTGGACCAAAGCAGAAGCTGCCCGGATGCTATTGATCCCCAGCACTCAGCAGCGCAAACGCCCTTGGGTGTGCTTTACTTCGAGCAAATAGAAGTGGGCCCCGCTGAAAGTAGGGATGCCTGGCTGGGGGTGGGGGGACCCGAGTGCTCAGCATCCAGCTGAGAGTGAGATTCCTGGAGCAAGCCCCCTTCCTGTCACAGCACCCACGGCATTCGGAATCTGCTCGCAGCCCAACCGCCTCGCTAAGGATGCTCCATCTAAAAGTGCAGTTTTTGGATGATTCCCAGAAGATTTTTGTGGTTGATGTAAGTGGAAATCACGTCGCTATGATTCCTTTATTATTCATTCAATAATGGTCATTTGTGGATAGCTCATTAGCCAAGGATGTTATGCCTGCTTTAGAACCGAATGGAGGAGGACTGTGGTTTTTAGATTTGGAAAAGAAGTCTGTATTTAATGTCACGATTTGGCTCATGTTTTCCCATTAACCTTTCTTCTAGAACATGCTCTCTTTTCTCAAGGGACATTGAAAACAGATTTGAAAAATACGCTAAGTATTTGTGAAAAGGCAGCAACGACTCAGTTCTACCCAATAAGGCATTATTGTTCATTGGAATTATTTATCTGTAGTCTGAGGTAGATTCTGAGGGAAAGGAGAGGGGAAGGCTGCCTTCCTTTTTGGAGGAAAACCTACGGGTTACGGGGAGTAGAGTTACAGTTCTAATGAGAGCTTCAGGAAACAACGCCACGAATGAAGAAGAAAAATAGGAAAAGAGATGATTTAGTTTGATTTGGTACTTAGAGTTCAGAGTTCTTAATATAATTCCTAGCTACAGGATGATTGCACACAATTATACCTCATCTCTTCAAGAAAGAACAAATGTATTAAGCACATCATCTAATGCTCAAGCTCCAACATCCTCACATCTGTGCAATTTGATGTCAGGATTTATGTATGAGCATTTTGAAACGTTCTACTTTTCTTTTTATTTGAAGGCATATGCTGTTTCCTGTGATATTTACATAAGCTACTAACAAGGAACAAACAGTCCATTTTCCATGAAATTCATACAGAAATGTTGCATGCATTTTCCCCCCTTTCACACATAAAGTGACAGCTACTCTAGGCTCAGCGTGATGCGTGGTAGCCCATCTTTTCAATGAGAATTTCATTTTGCCTTGAATCATGTGTTTCGTTGGTGATGACTTTCTGGTTTTAGCTGCTATTTTGCTGTCTCTTCCTTCCAGTTTTATGCGCAAAAGGCATTTCTAGTTCCACGGACCCGAATGATTTGTTTTGTAGCAAATGGATTCCATTAGCGTTATGGGGCATTTCCTATTCTTTCTTGGAAGTATATTTGAGGGGTGGAAAATGTCTTTTGAGTAATTTGTCCATTTGCAAGCTGGTGGCGGACTGGTGCCGTGCTCCAGAACCCAAATTACTGAGCTATATTCAAAAGATACCGCTGGAGGCTAAATTTTTAATAGATACTTTAGGCATCTGAAAGAGAAATCTTTGACAAAAAGTGACAGAAGAGTTTTATGAATGTGCAGTTCTAATTCAGATCCAATTATATGAAGAGTGGGGAGCACAGCACTGAAGCTGCATAGACTTCACCTCCCTAGGAGCCAGTTCCAGCAGCTGGAAGGCAGCCTGATTTGGCTTCAAGTCAGAGTGTCTCTTTCCAGCTGCAACACATTGTGTTCCTTAGGAAGATAATGGAAGAGATTTGATACCCAGCAATTCGGGTGTCAAAGCGTCCTATCCCTTTTCCTCAGTGCAAGGCTGCACCACGCGTAGCAATCATGTGCCTTCCTGAGTGGGAACAGCACAGGATGCAGTACTATAAGCAGCTTTGTGGGGAGGGAAAAGAGCTTAGCATCTGGCCATCAACACGACAGTGTCTCCTTACCAACAATATCCATAGTGATGATGGTGGTGCTGGTGGTGGTGGTGGTGAGAGCAGGCTCAGGGGATGCAGGACCACTGGATACCTTATATTACCATCACAACATAGTGTGTGCGTACAGAGTGGGGGTTTTGAATCCAGAACCTCCCCCCACTCTTCCTTTTGCAACTGCACGCAGAAAACGCATCTGTCAGTAGTTGGCTAGGCCTGAAACATGGCTCACGACCATCATTTTGTATTGTCCCCAAAGGATATATAATTTAGCATACAGTGAACATTTGTGGCTTTTGTAAGCCATTAGCAGGTCCTTCTTTCTTTACCCATGAAAGAGGATGTATGCAGCAAGATGGTCACTAGACGTCAGGGGCACTGTACTGAAAATTTGCTCACTAATTTTGATGCCTAAAAGCAACAGAAATGGCATGACTCTATCTCCTCCAAAGTGCTGGGATTACGGCTTATCATCAGTTACATGTTCAGTTTGAGGCCAGCACCAGCTACGTGAAACCCCAGCTTAAAAGAGCAAACAAAAAAACAACTTGAAGAAAGTTCTCTTATATCAGCTCTCATATTTCAGACAGATTCAAGCAATGCATGGGGTTATAATGAGGAGATCTTATTCATAGCCCAGAAAAGCCATGTGATAGGGTTTCTGATAGCAGACTGAAGTCAGAAGAAGTTTGGGTCTTTCCCAGGGAAGACTGTCCTTTAAAGATAAGGTTCAAGAAAGTAATTTCTTATGCAAGCTAAAATAGTGGCCAGTTAGGCATCCGTGCCAATTGTATAGCACATAAAGCAGGGTAGATCTAAAAAGCACACACTATCAGATAGAATAAATAATGTTATCCAAGAGTACTCTCTGAATAAAAATTCAGAACCATTAATCTCTACTCCAGTGGCATAATCTTTATGATGTTCTCAATATTCAAGATCTGTCTCAGGCCTGTAGAATGAGAAGCCTCATTTGCTAAGACTCCACAAGAGCTGAAATCAAAGACTGATTACAAATCCTCAATGCCAAGGTCACCATTTAGACTGGGATTATGTATACTTGGGTCTTCCGATTAAACACTGAGAAGGCCAAATGATGTTAAAAGTCAGGTCTGAGCAATTGAATATGCAGCTCTCATATTTAACAGTTTGGTAAGGCATCTGTAGCCAACCAAAGCCCTACTAGTGACACTTATTAATTACTCATTCATTAATGTAGCTGTTTAGTTAAAAATTACCACTGAGGATCTCATAAGTCCAGGCCTTATTCTGTGTGTAACTGACTATCACAGGGGTAGGTAAAGTTCTTTTAAGCAAGGGCGTACGCTAGCCTAAGCCGTGCTAGCTGGGCAGTAGCTTGGCCTGGGTGATTCCTTCTCCTCTTGTTGAGTTGTCAATGTGATTAGTGTACATTTGTCCTAGTCTGGTTTTGACTTGATAAGCCCTTTAGTTAGATTATTCAGAAGAGCATCTGGCTCTGGAGACATCCTGTTTGCCTGGCGTTTCTTTGCTCTAAGGCAATGTGTGCTGATCTTACAGATGAAGCGTCTGAAAATCATCGTCAGCCTTTTCCACTGCGACTTTTGAAGTGTGTTTAGGGCAAGGCAGACAGCTTCAGCACTGCCAGAAGGTGCCTGCTGAAGTATGATCCTAGGAGGACCATGGAGCGAGAATCTCATCTTGGTTTTCAAGTCCCCATATATATTTTTTAAAATTTATCATTGTCAAATTCAGGCATCAACCTTAGGACCGCTGTTAGCATGCTTAGAAGATCAAGGGTGGCTTTTTGGATGCTGAGACTGAGTTGCCAAGAGGAGCTATAGAGTCCTATCAGATGGTTCAAAAAGTGATTACAAGTTTTAGTGCAAATTCAGTTTTGCTCCTTCAACAAAGGGAGTAGAAAGAAAGAAGAAAGAAGTGATATGGCTAACGCTAAACTTTTCTGGGCTATTAGAGTAGAGCTTAGGTTTGATATTGACTACAGATCCCTTATTCCTCCACATATACACACCACAGCAGCACAACTTTCTTATAACTCGAGCTGTTTGCTCCATTTCCATTTAGATGGAGAGTTTTCTGAAACAGTTATCCCATCACCACAACTGGCCTGACGTCTACACACTCCCTTCCTCTGCTCTGTTCTTGTCTCCACCAAAGCTGTTGTTTCTGGACTTTTCAAAACCACATTTCACTTGATAGTTTCTAGATGCTAAAGTCCAAGCAAGAGGTTGAAGTATCTCTGCTTTGACCTTTGTCTGATTGCTAGGTGATCTTGCTGACCATCCGGTGATTACCCAGTAGGAGAACAGTCAATCAGCTCCTCTGATCCCCTCAGGAGCTCACAACAAAGGTCATGGGCTCTCATTTGCTAACAAAGACAAAGGATAGGCAGTGTCTAGACCGAGCATTATCTAAGGCAAATGGAAAAGCAAAGCATTGCCCAGTGATTATTTTTTAATCAGTAGTGGAATTTACTTTATAGGTACTTGTCCAAAGTTGTTTTTTTTTTCCAATTTGTAGTGATGAGGGAACTTTTGTAATTTGGTCAGCAGTGAATCGGATAACTTGTCCCACATCACAAAGCTAGGGTTTTCCAACGCCAGAGACAGGGATTGCTCTGGTATAATAAAATGCACCTGGATTTCAGGCTACAAAACCTGCCATCTTATGCCAGTCACGTCTCCTCTTTGATCTCGAGTTGTGAGGGGGTAACGCAAATGTGATAATGTTTATCTGGAGTCTGATAAACCAGGATAAATTGGAATCTGCGTTTACAAGCTGTGGGGCCTTGAGGAGCTTATCTGAATCTCAGCTGAATCACAACTGTCAAAAACAAGACTTAAAAGCATTAGGAAATTTCCCCCAAAGAGCAGCTCTTTAGGCTGTTGAGTAGGAGGGCCCCGAGAGAGTAAGAGGCGAAAGCTAGAATGAAGGGGCGAGGGTGACTTCTGCAAAAGACAATGTGAAGATGCACGTGCAAACGAGACCAGAACGTGGTCTTTTCACAAAAGGAAAAGGTCATTTGGATGGCTGGATTTCAAGGAAGACAGGGATTGACTGAAAAACCAAGGTTCAATACAGATTCCATTGTTCAGGCACTACGGTCTACCTGTGACGAAGTCCAATCTATCTTCTGAAGGTGATGGAGAATTGGGGAGGCTATCGATGTCAAAAAGTGAGGAAATTAAAATAAGCTTGGTTTATTAACTTATCTGTTTAGTTGCCCAACTGATATTTAGTCAAAGATGTGTGCTAGGTCCTTGAGAGAGCAGGTAGAATCTGGATGATAGCAAAGTCAGTGGCTCCAATTTTACAGGTTCAAAGCACTTTCTAACAAATGTGTGCCTGAACATCAGTATTGTAGCCAGATTGGGGCTGAAGGAATTAACACCATCTAATCTCAA